AAGTAGCGGTTTTGGGAATGCGCCACCTTCAGTTCATTTCACCATGCAGTCGTAGTACATTGTTGCTATCTCTTTCTTTCAAATTTTGAGGGGTTTCATTCTCACTAGTACACAGGATTGAACTAATATATGTCCATACTAGGAATGTTCGATATCGTTTCGATTATTCTGAATATCGATATTTCACGGCACGATAATCGATTTTTTGAATCGATATTCCAAGGTCGATATATCGAAGACATCGATACTTTACCCGCAATATCGATATTTAAGTTGAAATTTATTTTTCATCTAGAAAAAAGTGTATGGGAAAATACTTAAGTAGGTTTAATCAGCAGCTTGTGTGATTTACAGCCCTATTCGCGTGTTGTCACAGTCATCAATTGTCCATATCGTGTCATCAACTGTAGTCATAGGTATGCAGTCAATAATGACAAGCAAAAAGCTCGTTTTATTTGCCCATTGCGGCGAAAGTTTCTCTATAGTTAAACAGCTGTTCTTTGTTTACATTTTAACTGGACTTTTTGACCCACACTGCAACAGACGGAATTTCTTTTAAATAAAATACATCGCAGCAATAGATTACGAAACGCCGAAAAAGTGAGTAATTTTATAATAGGAAAATGTATTTCATTTAGTTATGAATTCGTGTAGTAAGAGGCGTGAAAGATATGAATGCACCACACGTGAAAGATATGAATGCACCACACAAGTGCAGCTACAGTTTTGTGAATACCACCCCGAACTACAAACGTGTAAAAACTGTCGAAAAAACTGTTGTCTAGGAGTTCCCTCAGAAGTCTTCTTCTCTGTATAATATCTTCTTGCTCCACAATAATAGCCGCGTACATAATAATTATTTCCTCCATACGCATACGCAAATAAAAACTTTTTAACACACCTGTTGAAGCAAATAAAATGGTTTCACAGTTTAGTAAAATTTTGCAACTTTTTTCTGCAAAATTAATCAAACCGTTGGAGCTTTCAAATTGCCCTCTGCATACCTAAACGTGATAATTGATTATAAACATGGCAATAGGGCTGTTATTTAGCTTTTAAGTTTGACAAACCGCTTGAGTCGACCGGCATGCCGTTTTAGTGCTCAGTAATTATACAAGATGGAAATAACACAATTAGGTGAGTTGATAGGCAGGTCTAATATTCTATTCAATTGGGAGTAGGATTTTCAACATCGATTTTTCCGATATCGATATTGTTCAGCCCGATATATCGCCATATCGATTTTACATGCAATGAATTAAATCGATTCATGATATCGATACTTTCTTAAATATCGAACATTCCTAGTCCATACTTGCATTTGTGTTGGTTCACTGGTGTGTGTGTATTACCCAGTAGAAATCGGTTGTATGCATTCGTGAAGAAAGCTTGCTATATGAGTGAATTAAGAGCGAAATACACCACACAAGCGGCTTGTCAAACATTCTTCAAACCTACTTTTCCCATTTCGCCATACACCATGCAAACATGACTCGTTCAAGCAAAGAATTTTAGTTTTCTTCCAGTTCGCAATGCTAAATATTGTGGTTTTCTTTCATTTTCCTCTCTTACGTCCTTACTCGGTGAAAATTTCGTTGCGAATGAGGCGATTTTGCTATACACAACGCAAGCGGTTTGATCAAACATCAACATGGCGGCCAGAAAATCAAAAAATTTTGATTTTTGCTCAAATTTCCCTCAAGCGGTTTGTCAAACCTTCAAACACCCCCATACACAGCACAAATGGCTTGAAGCTAAGGGAAATTTCGCTTGGTTTGTCAAACCGCTTGTGTGGTGTATTTCGCTCTTTAGTGTGAACAATTCATGCGGAGTCATGAATTTCCGCGAATAAACTCAAATTCCAGTGAATTGCAAGCGAATGTACGTTGTCGTTGTTTTAAGTATATTTCTTGATAAATTTGAAGTGGAATTTTTGTAATATTTTCAGTCTTGTACAAAAATTTTAGTGAACGGACGTGTTGTGCGATACTATTTTCAGCAAAAACGGGATTTTACAAGATATGCATTTGCATATGTAAATGCTACGTGTTTGTATGTCCCCGTATATTAAAATGTATCAGAGAAGTAGCATTTACATATGGGGATACATATCTTGTAAGAATGCTTTAATACTGTTCCGTTAATGCATTTTTGTATGTTTGAAACATTAATACAACCATATGCATACAGCAGTAGTACAAGTGCATGATTAAGGTACGCATACGCTCTGAGAAACCACGCGTGTTAAATGGAAGTGAAGGTTCATTTATACTGGCATGTATACACAGCAGCAAGCTCATGTCACAAACAGTGATGTCGTATGCTTAAAATTTCTACTGGGTTTCTCAGGTTTTAGTAGGGATGGTACCGTCCAGTGATGGAAAAGTCGGCACTATAGTGCCATTTTTGCACTTTCTTTCACAGAGGCACTTTTGGTACAATTCATTCCGTTTTGGCACAATCATAAATTATAGAAACTTAGCATAATATGCCAATATACTATATAACAAATAATCACATATTACATTATTGATTAAAAAATTACAAAGAGTGAAAATTAAAAGCACTAAAAAATTAAAATAAGGGCCGTGAGAAATATTGTGTCGCAGCTTTTGACAAAACACAAAATCCTATTGTGAAGGCCCAGACCAAAAAGTAAGTTTAGAAGATTCTAACAGGTCTATTCTGCACGTTACCGAAGAGTTTGTAACCGGAAAATTTTATTACCAAAAAATGTTACCAGTTCTTGTCACCACGATTCTACGAACATTGGTAATGCAGTTCAAATATTCAGCAATTCAGCTATGAAGAATTGTGCAAATTCTGGCATTGCATATTTCACGGGGCAATACTTTGTTACCAGCTTATGAGATGGTAACAAAATTTACCGGTTACAAGAGTACACAGAATGCGAAAAGGGTTTAAAAATTTACAGGAACTTTATTTACGGGTTACAAACTTTTTATTACCAGCGCAGAATAGACCTGTAAGTTTGCAGTTTTATAGTCCAATAAATAAAAGGGCAAGTTCCTGCAAAATCCCGTTGATTATGGATAATTTTTTTTTGCTGACGTTGTGATATGTGACCTGGTCTACGAAAAGGGAGCTTACGTGCGAAAACTAGTTTTCTGTGAAAAAGCTGTTAAAAGTAAGCAGCTCGTTTCGTCAGTTTCTCATTATCTCGTTAATTGTTCTCCGCGCCGGACGTCCAGTAAGTGTTGTTGTTGGTCCAGTAAGTGTTGTTGTTGGTCCAGTAAGTGTTGTTGTTGGTCGGAATATTTTTATAGTTCATCATGTAAGTTGCTAGTGTGGAACATTTAAAAAAGTAACATTGAAGAAGTGACGTTTACTGTTTCTGTTGATTATCGTCTTCGCATTTCGCATGAAATGAAACATGTGTTGATGAGGAGTTCAGTGCCGTATACGGACAATATTTCCATGAAAAGGATGATGAAAACGATGATGAAAACTATGAAGAGAGCGATGATGATGAAGACGAAGTATGTGTATCTCAGGCAGAAGATGATACCGAACAAACTTTTGTTAAGATGGACCTGTATGTTATTCCTCAGGATCAACACGTAAAAAGATCTCAAGGAAAACGACAACAAAGAAAAATACATAAACTACTCAGCATTATTATTTTTGGCCCATAATACGTTTTTCTAGTGTATAATCATGTCTTTATAGCTTATAATTCAATGTATTTTGTTCATTACCAATAAATTATATTTTGTCGTATTTTTACTCTTCTTTCTCTACATTTTTAGTACACTTCTAAGCAAGTTAGGATTTTCTGCTTTTCACCACGTGAAAAAGCATCTCATCTTCCATCCGAATCAACCAAAAAGTGAAAGTTGATTTTTTGACACCTAAGCCCCCTTTCCGTAGACCAGGTCACATATATGTATTTTCATCCATTTAAAAAACTTTCAAACACACTCTATATCGAAAAAATGCGTACAATCGTAGACTTGGAATCTCTCTAAGAATTCTGAATTAAAAGTTTGTAGCTGCCTTATTTTTAATTTTTGAACAAGGACGAGATGTCGATTTGTGTACATACATACATAGATGTATGGTGTTCGTTAAATTATGAGTTTGACTTTTATATAAAATCAAAAAGAATATTTATCAACTGGTGAAACTGGTCAAAATGGCTTACCGCCATTATTTCGCATATAGGTAGGTTCACTTTCGCGTGAATAAAAGAAGGTTGAATTTTTTGATAAGAGATATTTAAATTCACTATTTTATTAAACTTCTACTGGGTATATTACAATATATTTTCGTTTGGACGACCGTTTATGTATAAGGATAGCTAGCTTACATATATATGTATGTACAGGTTTGTGGTGAATATTAAATTTTCCAGTTCAGGGATGTAATTAAAGGTAAGTATTCAACGTAAGCATTCAAGTTAAGTATTCAAGATAAGTATTCAAGGTAAGTATCCCATTTTGGAAATTCATTATTACGAACTAATATTAGCTTTAAAATTCAATTAAATTATGACTCATGTCCTCGACATTCCGGCGGTCCTGAGGCGATGAGACCTGCACCAAATCTTGCAGCTGCTCCTGCGTTTCTCGTGCTTTATTTAGTAGCCCCCGGATGCATCGTTGGAAGGCGGGCGGGGCTGGCTTCGTTCAGCTCTGCTTTCAGTCCTACGGCGGTTAGGTATTTTTTCTGGCGGGAAAGCCTTTCTTTGCCGATGCTTGCGCACGTGGCCTCGATCACCCGTTTTGCGGCTTTGCTTCGACCCTTGCGAAGTGGAGGAGGATCGGTATAGCAAAGTGTGGTGGGCTAATCCGCAATGGCGACAGCTGCCTGGCGAGTCACAGGCGCCGGTGACGTGCGATGTGGCTAAACAATTTATACAATAGCGGTGCAGTGTAGCAGATTCGCAGCGCTCGTCCGGCGTCATTGCCCGAAAGGCACGGCAATAGCGCAGCGAATGCCTGCGACAGCACTGTCGACATTTTCTGAAGTCTTGGGACCTGTAAGTATACGGTCGAGGGACATTGTTAGTGGTATGCGGGTGATCAAGGAACTGTGACGAGAAAAATGTTAGAAACAGCAGAGTAAGTGTAAGGACATGAACTACCTGGGTGGTAATAAGCAAAGCTTCCCTATGTAGCGTGTGATGGTTCCGCTTTGGGTGCGGATGTCTACCACGCGAACATTTCGATCGGGAGCGGGATGGAGTTTTGTAATTCGGCCGAGCCGCCATTCGTTGGGGAAAGGAGATCATCTTTGATGACGACTAAGTCTTACTCAGTTTTCCAGCGCTTGCTGAACTGGTGATGGAGTACCTTTAATTTTTGCCATTTATTAATTAGGGAGAGGTTTTCGGAGTTCGGCTCAGGAATGGAGAGTAGTGGGGCGCCGCGCAGAAAATGACCTGGTGTTAGAGTGTTCAAACATCTTTGAGCATGTGTGAATACATACAAACATACATATATGCCTGGGTATTAAAAATGCTCAAATTTAAAATTGTAATAAACATTTCTAATCCTTGAATATACAAAGGAAAGATAAAAATTGTACACTTGCACCAAAACTAAAATACAGTTCACTGAAGAAAATATAAATAGGAGAAAATATAATTTGTACGCTTACATTTACATATAAAAAATTCATATGTATGTATCCAAACACAAACGTACGATAAGAATGTCAAGTGTATTCGACGCACAAAAGTAGGTAATTAAATGTAAGGAACGTTCGCGAGAAACAATAAAATATTGAATCGGTTGATCCTTTATTAGTTGTAAAAATATAAACATACATAAATTGCAGCGCATACGGGAAGCATTAAAATGTCAATGCTGCAAAGCAACCCTTATGGTGCAACAAACAGAAAATACATTGCTTATCAATATTCTTAACATGCAAAGATGTAGCTGATGCACACAACCAAAATACCATAAGAACCAATGCGCTGGTTTCTTCCCTGTAGTACGGGGGAGCGACTACAGGACTGATGAATCGGTAGCTACCTGGTAAACTCCGTCAATTACCAACCGACTACTTGCAGTGTATTTCATCGATTACTTTTACAAGGCAATGTCCTAGGCGGTAGTCACCATCAGCTCTCTCTGCACTACCGGAAGTTACTAAAGTAGTCACTTACGTGATTTATGGGGGCCCTCTGTCGTAGTTTTTCGCTATTCTGATTCCGACTGGTTCGACTCTGCACTACCACGGGTTAATAGAGTAGCTACTTACCTAGGATTCGGTGCAGTAGCGGTTCAAAAGTAGCGATTGACTCCATCTTTTGTAAATATACATACATACACACACACATATGTACATATACAATTAGTAAGGAAACATAACGTTAGAAAACTGTATATAAAGAAGAAATATTTAATAAATATTCAGAATCGTAAAGACGCTCACCTAACACTCTTCTTCTCTATTTTATTTTGTATGCTTTACTTCCCCCCAACAGGGGTAAGGGGTAAAGCATTTAACAGTCTTTATTCTTCTTTTTTATTAAGGTTTTACTTCCCCCACCAACGGTAAAGGATAAAATTTTAATATTGAAAGTTCTAGCCTCTTATTTTATTAGACTCTACTTCCCCCACCAGTGGTAAGGGGTAGTGAATTTTAAAATAAGAGTATTTGTAGGTCACGCATTGCTGAGAATTACTTGTTACCCCCCACCCAAGGTAAGGAACAAGTGAATCAGCTCTACACCGAACATTTGGTCCATACAAGCCTAACAAAAATTGAGCTCAAGCGGCAAGGTAAGACGGGAACAGATTTTCCGCACTTAAAAGAATAATAAAAAAGCACTATTAATTTTATAGGCACATCAGATTTATAAGTCGTTAAAGCACGAGACTTTATGCATAATCTCTTTATTGTATTAAAAAGAACAAACAACGGCTGTGAGTCGAGGCACAGCAAGGTCAACCAGGCGACCAAACCAATTCCCTCCAACGGTTCGTTTGGAGAAGAAAAAACCATTGATCAAATCCATTTAAAAAAACAAAAACACAATTAAAATGTCTACTAAGCAAAAACTGTTAGAAGAACAGAAGAGTTTCGAGGACCATTTCAAGTCGTGGCTGAGCAAACTTGAAGTCCGAAAAATACCAGCAACAGAAGACGCGAAGAAAAATATTCTCGAACTAATAAATAAATTCACATCAAACCATTACCAGTTACTTAAGTTAGGTGTGGAAAATGAGACGTATTTAACGTCAAATTATTATGATGGCTGGATGCGTAAAATTACTGAAAGCCTAGAAAAATACAATGCAGAATGTGAGCAAGTTGCAGAAGCTTGTAATTTAAAGAAAAGTGATGGAATGACGCAAAATAATCATGGTGTAAAACAAGAACTTGAAGATCAAATAAATCGATTCGAGAAATATTCTTCAAGGACTAGTGATGTCTCAAAAATATGTCTGCAAACTTTAGAAAAACAGTATAAATTACTTGAGGAAAAATATGAAGAATGTTCATTTACAAATAAAGATATGCGGCACATAATGGATGATTGTGAGAGCGAAATGCAAGTCATAAGAATGTCGGTTTCAGAGCTAAAGAACAGAATAAAATCTCAAAGACCAGGTCCTACGCCTAACTTAAAGGTAGAGGATATCAAAATTTCGCCATTTTATGGAGACTTGTCAGAATGGCCGACATTTAAAGACATATTTAATAGTCTTATACACGAAAGCTGGCACTACTCTAAAGTCGAAAAGATGTATCGACTAAAATCATACCTTAAAGGTGAAGCTGGACGTCTGACGGGGACCAACGAAAATTATTGGCAGCTTGGGAAATCTTGAACAACTGATACAAGAATCGTAGATTGCTGTTCACATCCCAGTTTGACAAAATTTTAGATTTGCAAACAATTAATATTGAATCAGCAGCTAGTCTAAAAAACTGTCTAGATAAAGCGGGAGAATGCATTTATGCAATAAAATGTTTGGGCATCAACCTCACCGACGCTGAACCATTTTTAGCTATAATATTAGTGAGAAAGCTTGATAAAGAAGGACTACGCTTATATGAGCAAAGCATAAAGAAGACAAGAGAAATTCAAACTCTTAAAGATGTCTTCAGCTTCTCAGAACAGCAGTATCTCTCTTTAGAAGCCGTTTCCAGTAAAAGTTCAAATGGAAAGAGGGTTCAAAAAAGGGAAAAAAGTTTCACAAGGAACTATGTCACGAAACACAATGAACAAATATCCTGTGTGTAATGTAAAATACCAGGGCAAAAAATCACCTACTGCAAAAAGTTCAAAACTTTAACAACAGCACAAAAGCGAGAGTTTGTAACAAAAACTAAACTGTACTTCGTTTGCATGGAGCACTACTTACTATGGCTCAAAGTGGCATAATCCTGAAAAGAGGTGCATAAAATGTGGGTTTAAACATCACTTTCTGCTACATGAAGGCCATAAACCTAAAAAGGTCGGAAAAGTGAACACAATGGTATCAAGGGAAAACTCACCAGCAGTGCTTTTAGCCACAGCACAAATAAGAATAAAATCGGCTAATGGCGAGCATATTTTACTTTGAGCTCTTGTCGATCAAGGGTCACAAAAAACCACGATTTCCGAAGAGGATAGCCAGTTACTTAATCTACCTCGAATTAAATCGAAAACTGAAATATACGGTCGTGGAGGTACCAAAGTTGGCGTTTCTAAGAATAAAATAAAAATACAGATACAGCCAAGATTTAGCAGCGCCTATTTAGTGACAGCAGAAGCCTTATTTCTGCCGGCGCTAACAAGTGTTCAACCAGAAAAGACATTTAAGCAAGATATAAAAGAATGTAAGAACTATATCTTAGCAGACTCTTTGTACAACAAGTCAGACAGAATTGACGTTGTAATACGTAGCGACATATTCGGTAACATCTTTGAAGAAGGCGTTACCAAAAGCGTGGCATCCTAGGGCAATCGACTAAATTGGGTTGGATACTTTCCAGAGCTGTCACAGCAACCTCTGATAATAACAAAATTTTGTCAGCCAGTATAGAGAAATGTTGGGAACTGGAAGAGGTCCCAACTGAAACCGAGTCATCCAACGAAGACGAGTTATGTCTAAACATTTATAAAGACACTACCAAGCTAGACGAAAAGGGAAGGATTAATGTTAAGATACCTTTCAAAGAAGACTGCGCTTTGGGAGAATCCAGGAAGCAAGCTGTGGCACGTTTTCTTTCACTGGAAAAAATGATGGCTCGAGATGTCAACTTGAAAAATGAATACGCCAAATTCATCGACGAATACCAAAAACTGGGGCATATGGTAAGAATATTTGATGAAAGAGACTGTAAATATTATCTTCCCCACCAAGCTGTTATTCGCGAAAGCAGTACCACAACGAAACTGAGGGTGGTACTCGACGCATCAGCCAAAACATCGAACGGGAGAAGCCTTAACGATGTAACGTACGCGGGACCTAAATTACAAAAGTATATTTTTGACATAATTTTAGAATGGAAATTGTGGAAATTTGTGGTGTCTGCTGACGTTGAAAAAATGTTCCGTCAAACAGTATCAAAACATACTGTGGAGAAATTACAGTAAAAAGCCATTAACAAAGTTCAGGTTAACTACTGTTACTTATGGAACAGCTTCAGCATCATTTTTGGCAGTACGCAGCTTAATAAAAATCGCTGAGGACTGCATTGAAGAAGGAGTGAAGAAAGTTATCGAGGAAGACTTTTACATGGATGACCTCATGACCGGAGCAGATAGTGTACAAGAGTGTAGTGAAGTTAAACAAAAAGTTGAGCAACAATTAATGAAGTTTGGTTTTCATTTAAGAAAATGGCTCACGAATAATTCTTCGGTACTGGAAGATAGTATGCAACAGCGCAGTGAAGAAAATTATTTAATAAATAGTGATGAAATCGTGAAAACGTTAGGACTTAAATATAATAATAATAGATTGGCGCTTACACATATGTTAGTGTTTGGCCGAGCTTCTCCTCCGATTTGTGGTGTGCGCCTTGATGTTGTCACACAAAGCGGAGGGACCTATAGTTTTACGCCGACTCCGAACGGCGATTGTATTTTTATGAGAAGCCGTTTTTCATGGCAGAAATACACTCGGAGATTTGCCATTGCCTGCCGAGGGACGCCCGCTGTTAAGAAAAAACCTTTTTCTATATTTTTTGCGATGTTGTTTTGACCAGGGTTTGAACCCAGGTGCTGATGAGTGAAAGCGCGCACTGCTTGGCACTACACCACAGCGGCCTTAAATGGGATCCTAAAAAAGATGAATTCAAGTTCGAAATCAACCTGAAAGAGAGCAAGAAGACTCAGGGGGCTATCCCCAATAACTATTGTGTTGAAAATATTTCTTCAAAATCTTTGGACACAGAAGCTTACTTGGGATGAAGAATTATCAGCCGAGTTAAAAACGGTTGGAATTTATAAAAAATATAAGTGCACTATGTAAAATAAAAATCTCTAGATGGATTAAAATATCTCAAATGATGGATGTAGAGCTGCACGGTTCTGCAGATGCATCAGAAAAAGCATACGCAGCAGTAGTGTACATTAAATGTGATGGGCAAATAACCATTGTAGCTGAAAAAAGTAAAGTGAATCCGATGAAAAATAGGAATCCTTTGCCCAAACTAGAACTTTGTGCAGCTCACTTATTATCAAAACTATTACATCGAATGTTAATCACGATTAAGCAAAAGACGAAAATCTATACATGGAGCGATTCTACTATTACTTTAAATTGGATAGAAACCAACAAAAGTAAAGACAAATTTATTCGAACTAGAGTCAGCGACATTAAGAATTTGATTCCAAGTGCAAAATGGAATCATGTAGTTTCTAAAGAAAATCCATGAGACGTAGCATCGAGAGGAATTTTTCCCTATAAATTACAAATACACAAATTGTGGTGGAATGGTTGTGGAAGACTGGTTGAAAGAATCAGAAGACAAGTGGCCAATAGATCAGCGAGAAAACAACATGCGCGGTAACTGCAGTGAGTAAAATTAATGAACAGCACCCTCTGGAGTCTCTTACAGAAAAATACTCCAGTTTTTCAAAACTAATTAGAGTGTTTGCCTATGTATTGCGTTTTAAAAAAAAAACTGCGAAAAACGAAATTCCATTCGCAATATTTATCATCAGGAAAATTAAAAATGGCAGAAATAGAAATAATCAAAAGGCATCAACATAAAGAATTTGAAAATGAATTTCAAAAGCTGCTGAAAAAAGAAAATATAAAGCAATGCAGTAAGTTATCAAACTTGTATCCACCCTGCAGTGAAATCCCAAACTAGTCAGGAAAAATACTAGTTCACAACTAGAATTTCATGACAGAAACCGATCTAGTTCGAAAATGACCAGACTTGTACCAAGTACAAAAAGATTTATTCATGCCCTGTTTTATTTGACTTCGACAGTTTAATACAATAAAGTACACAAAATATTATAACTTTTATTTGGCTATATTGTAAACCGTTAAAGCGAGTACGTACTCGCAATTATACCATACCTGTTAAATAATAATTAATATTCATAATGATTATTAATTAAAGCATGTTTATGTTTGGATAACCGTTTAATGATTAAATACGGATATAATTAATTACTTAAAAAATTCTTACTTAAAAAAGTAATTAATTACTTAAGAAATGTTAATTAATTAATTAATTTTAATTACATCATTGTTTCGTTACTTTTGATCATTTTCAATTATTTTTGAGTTGTTTTAATTACACGATTATAATTATTTGATTAATTTTTATTATTAATCATCAAGGCAAACTATAGACAAAAATTAAGAATATTTTTTTACAAATTTAACACTATTTATTGGCAAATCTAAGGCTGCTAAATAAAAATGTGTAATAAATTAAAGTGTACTTAAAAGTTTTTTATTTTATATTCATGAATTCATTTTATTTTTTTGACTCCCAAAGTAGTTGTTTTCGTCCATAATTTGACTAGTATTTTTCTGTCTATTTTGTACTAGTATGAGACTGGTATATTTCTGACCGATATCTGACAATTGCCATCTCGTAGGACATCCCCATGTTAAAAATACCAGTTGATTGCATGAAAAAAAGATAGTTGGCTGACTAGTTGGGCATGCGGTTCATACTAGTTGTGAAGTAGTTTACAACTAGTACATTTGACTACAGGGCATTTATCGATGGCGAGGGTGTGTTACGAGTAGGCGGTAGGCTGAGGAACTCAAACATATCGTATGAGCAAACACATCCAGCAATTATTAATAAATCGCACTTATCAGAGTTAATTGTTATGTATGCACATAACAAAACATTGCATAAGAAGAAAGTACTGGGCAATGAATCTAAAAAAATAAATTAAAAAATGTATTCGAAATTGCGTGAAATGCATTAGATATCGACAAGAAACTGCTCATCAAATAATGGGAAACCTACCTGAGATGAGAGTTTCGCAGTCTTCACCTTTTACACATACAGGTGTTGACTACGCTGGGCCATTACTCTTAAAGTGCTCCAAAAATAGAGGTATCATATAAAGAGCATATAAAGTAATATTTGTGTGTATGGCAACTAAAGCTATACACTTAGAAGCAGTGTCAGATCTAACGACAGAAGCCTTCTTAGCAGCTTTTGAGATTTTTTGCTAGAAGAGGAAAAAGCTCACACATATATTCCGAAAATGGAACAAATTTCATCGGAGCAAATCGAAGTTGTTATGCCAGATAGAATCAGTACTTAATTCAATTGTATACACAAGGATCTGAAATAGAAGACAACAACGTTCTTACGCCTGGGCATTTCCTTATTGGCACACCGCTTTTGGATATTCCAGAAGTTACGGGAGATGTTGAAAAGATCGGAGCTTTAGACCGTTGGAAAATCATTCAGAAATTGAAGAGAGACTTTTGGAATAAATGGAAAGATGAATATCTTGTAACACTGCAAAAGCGAAATAAATGGAAAGTCGACCATTTAAACATAAGATAAGGCCAAAAGTAATAATAAAAAATGAAAACACACCCCCATCATGATGGCCTTTGGGTAAGGTAACACAAGTTCACAAAGGTACAGATGATAAGGTTTGTGTAGCTACAATAAAGAGAAGTGATGGAACTATTAAAAGATCAATACAAAAGTTGTGTCCATTACATTGTATTGAATATGGCGAAAAACGTACTCAAAATGAAAAAGTGAAATCTAACTATACTTTCACAAAATCTTGCCATAATAATTTAGCAAGACCTAAATGGTCAGTAGCTGAAATGTTGCTAGTATTTTTTGTACTTATTGTAAAACTACTTAATATAAAAGGCGAAGCAATAGCAAGTACAAATTTCATCACGCAAACGAGCCTTTCAAATAGTTCAGCCGTATACTTGGACTCCTATGAAAGAGTAGATGTCGTAGCTTCTCGTTGGAACTTGGTAATATACTACAATCTCGAATCTTATTTCAAAGAAAATGAAAGCATGCCAATTTACTTAAAGCAAATAAAGGACTTATGTCCAAAAATTGTTTACTTCAGCGAACAATGTGAAATAGTAGCAAAAAATCTGAATAGTAAATACGAACTACTAAAATCGAACAACCAGCTTCTTATGCACACAAAAAGAGCCAAAAGAGCGCCGTTAGAAATCATAGGCTCGCTTTATCACTTACTCTTTGGACTAATGGACAGTGATGATGGAGAAATAATGGAGCTTAATATGAAAAACTTATTTGAAAACCAAAATGCCATTGAAAGCATGATTAAAAAGCAAACCCCACTAATTGACGGTACACTCAACGTGCTCAGAAAAACTACAACAGATGTCAATAATCAATTTACTAAAATCGACAATCAAATAAACAACATCCAAAATTTAACGGCGAATTACTTCAACAACTATAGATTCTCTACGTCATTTCAGTTAATCACCATGCAATTACAATCGATATTAAATGAGTGTGAAAACACACAGACAGCAATAATAAATGTCGAGTGCTTATATTCAATACCCTCTATCTGCAAAAACTAAATTTTTCAGGAGAGCAAAAAAACTGTTTTGACAGCTATTTTTAAAAGTGTTAATGATTTATGGTACCCCCGAATGTCTTAAATATTCACGCTATATATTAAAACTAGTTTTTTACTTTTAATTCATTTTATTTTAGTTTAAAGATCAGATAGAGGTTATTGCAATTCGAATTATAACTGTTTATATAAAAAAAATTTGCTGATAGGGGTTTTGCAGAATAATGAAAATGTGTAGATGTAAATACTATGTTAATGCCCGTATGATACTACGTTTTTTTCCTGTATTTTTCATTTGAAATACAAACAAAAAAACTGACGAAATTACAAAAACTATTCGGCAATGTGTTAGAGAAGGACAAATTCTGTGTGAAGAACAGCTGAGTTTTGACGTTTCATTACCGAAATTAAAATTGATGTAAAACAGTTTTGTAACAATAAAAATGAAATTAAAGTGGCAAGAGAACTACGTATTCCATTTAATTGACAAAGTCCACGGTGCAGAATATATATGGAATCATATGCTACCATCATATAAGCACAAATATAAAAAGCAGCAGTTTTGGCTCGCTTTGGTGGATGAAATGAACTCAACGTTCACAGCAAATGTACCATTTCAATACAGTAAGTTTTTAGCAAGTTCACATGTAATAACTAAAAGATATATTATATGTTTGTATAATACATATATGTATTTAAAGATGAAGTTACGCACAAGTGGTGCAACATCAAGTCATATTTCAGTTCAGAGAAGCAGAGGATGGACAAGGCAAAGAGAAGCGGTGCCGGCGGAGACGAAAACGTACAGGCCAGCTGGAAGTTCTATGTAGCTTTGAAATTCCTACAACATGTGAATAAGCATACACCACAGTGAATAATTTTAATAAGTTGAGTTTGCAGGTACGACTTTTATTGTGTGAAGCCGGGCAAAGCGTCGATTCGCGTGCTACGTAAAATTTGCTTAATATTTTCATTCTCTTGTAGAACCTGGACCCTGATCCCAATCCATCGCGTAAGCTTGGGGAGCAACTGCAGCCTGCAGAATGTTTCGATCCAGGCTTTGACTCAGAGTCATCCTTTTCACTCATCGAAGACAACACAGAGTTCATTACAATTACCCCTCTTGCAATTACAAGTAACAGCAGTATCCATTCGCTCCAAGATACTAAAAACATCTCTACAGAAGACACTAATAGTGATGCAACACCAATTAAAATCATATCGGATGAGATTGTAACTCCACCTCTGGTTACTTCGCAAAACTGTGGTCGGTTTGATGACAATAACAACAATAGCACTAGAAAGTTGGTCCATGCAACAAGAAAACGAAGAACAAAAATTAATAATGATTTGGATGAAAACGCCTCTGCTTTAATCGAAGCATCACAAAATTTAACAAATGCCTTTCATGTTGCATCAAAAACAAATAACACTGACGAAAAGGCAAACAGTTTTGGGATATACATGGGTGAAGAAATTGTAAAACTGGACCCCGACTTGCAACTCAAAGCGAAGAAACAAATGCATGACATTTTGATGGATCTGCAAAGTGAGCAATTGAAACGGAATGGGCTTATGTAACACAATGACTATTTATATGTATGTATGTACACTCATAGACAAAAATAGGAGTGTCCCTTTTTGTCATGTTTTGACCATTTTCCGTAGGTTATTGAATTTTAATAACTTATTTATAAAACTTTAGTTAACTCTACAACCAAACACATATCACTAGAAGCTTTAAACTTTAAACAAAATTCAAGAAAATGCATAAAATTACATAACAATTTCGAACTTCCTTTTAAGTATTTCAAAAACAAAATGGGTTGTTGCGGCGCCCTCAGCTTAAAAAAAACAATACCCAAAATTAACGGTAATCTTAAGCCACTTGAAATTTGCCATTTATTACATACAAATTACACATCTACACAGACATGCAATTTTCTTTTTAATATTTAAAAGAAAAAAATCGAAATTTTGATGAGTTTTCCTGAATTTCGTTTAAAGTTTAAAAGTTTTATTGATATGGTTTTGTTTGTAGAGTTAACTATACATCCCGTGTCATAATTATAAACGCACCACATATTGCCAAGTTTAAAGATTTTTAATTAATGGGGTGTATTTTTATAAGTAAATTATTAAAGTTCAATAAATAAAAGGAAAATAGTCAAATTTTACGAAAGGAGGCAGAGTTATTATTTTGCCGAGTGAATATGTATTTTGATTATTCTTACCACTTTTTTACCTTAATATTACTTTCATTAAAATATTTGGTTGCTCCAATTGAATCAAAAATGTAACAGTGTTTGTACTACTCACGGTGCACCGCTAAGTAGGCAGGTATTAGCTAGTAGGTATGTACATAAATTGAAGACATTGTACTCATTTATTTAATCACCAAATAAACCAATTGTTGCTTCTACTAGTATGGAAAATTTCCAACACGAAAAGTTTTGGTTTATTTAAACAATGAAACGATATTTTAATTTACCGCAGAAAAATAGTTTTCCAAAGTTTTTCTTATTTCTTCAGCGCTCCTTTTTGACGCATTTCTTTCAGAAGCGGTTGTTGTATAGTTGTTATCTATTATTGCATCTATTTCACTTTCGGAAATGGCGTCAAACGTAGTTTTCTTTTTCACATTTTCTGTTCTTAAAAAGTTGTGCACACATACGCAAGATAATACAATCTGAATGGCTGCAGCTGGAGCGCGATGGATGGGTGAAAATAAAACTCGAAAACGGTTCGCAAGAATGCCAAAAGCATTTTCAACAACGCGCCTGTTCCTCGAAAGTATGTTGTTGTATTTAAGTTCGCTTGGTGATAGTCTTAGATGAGAGTAAGGTTTCATTAAGTAGTCTTTTAGAGCAAAGGCATCATCGGCTAAAAGCACAAAAGGCGAGGGAGTTGACATGAAAGGGAGCGTGCATGGGGCTGGTATATGTACTTCATTTTTTTCATTAGCGTATTTCAGGCCGAGTTCAACCAAATTCCAGCATCACCCACTCTCCCATTAACACCGACATCAGCATAAATAAAACGATAGTGGGCATCAGCGATTGCCATCAATACAAATGAATGGTATCCTTTGTAATTGAAATACGTAGATCCTGCTTTCCTCACTGGCAGTATTCTGCAATGCTTTCCTGAGACGTTTCATCAGTTGAGTGAATTTAAAAGTGTTAATTGTTAGTTTACCATCTAAAGCGCCGATGCAGTTCGGGAATCCCCACATCTGATAAAAGTCTTTTGCAATATCACGCCAATCTTGCTTACTTGCAGGGAATTTCAAATACTCCTCCCTTAACGCCAAATATATTGCGGGAATTGATTCCTTTAAAATTCTGGAAATGGTTGACTGCTGAATTCGGAACGGCAATTGAAGTGACCTTTGGGTTTCACCTAATTTTGGAAATATGTACATACATGTGTATGTCGGTACTAAAAATTACCAAGAAAATATTATATCTTACCAGTGGATAGATATCGCAATGTCAGCTGCAGCCGTTTCGCAGCTCCTATGCAGTTCCTGAATTTGCTTGCTAATATAGGGGCGTACTTTTTCTAATAAGAATGCAAACTGAGCTGGAGTCATTCTTAAGATATTTTTGTGAAGGATTGAATCCTCGCACTCAATTTCCTTTACCAGTTTATGGCTAAATCCTATGAAAAGTATTTTTGATAATTACAAAAACGAACTATATACATGTGTTTTTAATGTGGAATTCGAAACTTACCTTCCAGTTCTCTTTTTAAAAGCCATTGCGCAGAATATTTTTTTTTTAGTCTTTTTCTTTTTCCTACGCTGTATTAAGGCAGCAGCGTTTAGCAAACAATTTGTTGCAATAGATACAACTTGTATTTCCATTGTATGCTTAGAAAATCTCTCGTATGTCAAAATGCAAACAGCTGTGTAAAAAAACTAACAAAATACAGCCATCTGTCAAAAAAACCTAACGAAATACAAGTTAGCCGGACTGTTTTTAACAACCTAGTTTGTTTTTCGTTAGTTTTTCGTTTGTTTTTTGGTATATAGCTTACTCGCTTACACAAGTACTGAAATTGTATGTGACCTTCTCTTTCTTTCAAAATACAGCGTAAAATACACTCGAAATACAAGAAAAAAACGTAGTATCATACGGGCATAAACAAAGTTTTTAATACAGAAATCATTGGTGTGCAAAATCGTTCCCTTCTATTCGGACGTGCCCAGGAAACCACATAATTTTAATGGTGTTTTTGTGTCGAAAGAGTAAAAAAAGGCTTCGATTGCTGATTTACTGTCCGAGCATATGAGGAAATTTCCTTCGTTTTTAGAGGCGAAACGTATAGCTTCTAGCAATGCAGCTGATTCGGCTGTAAATGCCGAGCAGTACGCGGGAAAAGCACCGGTGAGAATTGAAACACCTAGCCCTTTTGTTACCGCAAAAAAAAACAGCTGGTATCATATCTGGAACCGTCTGTGAAAATAAGCTCCCAGGTCATTTAGAGATGGAACTGGGCAAATGCCCAATGCGGTAGAGTTTTTAATTTAGTAAGCATCGGAGTAGATATGATGTCCAAATATTTCATGTAGCTTAATATACGAAATAAAGCAGATTGCTTGCTACATCGGTTTTTTTATTGAAAGCAGTATTCGACGTGAGAGATAGCTTTTATTGGGGAGGTGGGACATGCACGGATGTTTCTTATCCTCTGCTGCATGGTAAGGTGTTTCTAGCAATTTAAGATATTTTTTTGCGCAGTGTGCGTAAATTACGAGTCCAAAGTCAAATTTTCCTAATATAAGAGCCCTAATTACATTTACGAGTGTAGTTATATGAACTAAAGAATACTTAGAACCAATTGATTAGATCGCTTAGTATGTTAGAAACAATTATTTTTACTTGCGTCAAGGCCTTAGTCTTAGATAAAATTAAAATATCAGCGTAAAGGTGCCCACACTCACCTACGTGTACGTATGCCGTGTCTGTTTGACGTAAAACATAAAAAATTTACTACAGTTGATGGAGAGAGAGAGAAACACGCGTAAAGGTCGAACGTACACGGTGGTGAGTTTTCATTTACATGGCGCTCTTATAAGTTTGATCGTGTCAGCTGACACGTTAACGTACGTTGGCGTCAGTGACATGATCAAACTTATGAGAGCGACATGTAAATGAAATCTCACCACCGTGTACGTGCGACGTTTACGCCACAGTATTTACAGTAATAAACCTTTTCGCAGTTTTTCACCAATTGGTCCCCGAGGAGTACTTTTGGGTTGTGTGCAGCGTTTTCGTTTTGCGAGCACGGCAACACTTACTGTGGGGAATTTCGCCTGATGATTAGAAAAAGGTCTTCACGAGGATAAAATCTATATAATTATGTTATTTATGAACAAAATGTGGGTTAAGTATAGTATCAATGCTTACTTAAGAATAATATCAATAGTTAAGTACATAATTAACGCTTGTGTTTCTATAAACTGGCAACTCACATCGTATTGTTTATTAAAAAACGTGAATTTTGTGTATTTATCAATGAAAACTCTAAATTTCCGAATATATTTAATCTTTATTCCAAAAAAAAAACAAGGTTTAGTTATAGAGACTCCAATGTCTGCCAGCGCATTCGCACACCCAAGTTTGAGCGGAACTCCCCAAAAATACTTAACATCAAAGTATAGAATATCAAAAATATGAGTCATACACACATACAATAGGAATTGCTATCAATTGCTACCTTACAAATTCAAGACACGCATTTGGTTGGAGAGTGCGTTGGTTATGGCGGTCATAAGTTCAGCCAACACATTCAATGGTCCATTACCCGGAGCTGTTCCAATATTCATCATATTTTAGTGAGCCTCAGAAGCCACTGCCTCTGGCTACAAGCTGGATATCTGAATATTGGAAAATAAATAGCAATTATCTTTTTAAAATTATTAGAAAAGTGTCTGTTTACAAAATTACCTGTGCCACTCTGACTTAGTACGGTTGTTGCTCCCTTTCATACCACAATAATTTTGTATGCAACTCTGAATCAGCAAAATTCATGCTCTTCTCATTATCAACCCTGATCAGATTTTACCCCCGAGGAGTACTCAAAAAGGTTTATTACTGTATATACTGTGGTGCGTAGAGCTGGGATACTATTGATAGTAATATCGATAGTTGAAAACTGTCGTCACTATCGATAGTTTTTGAAAACTATCGATGTCGGTTTTAGCAAGACTTCACAATGTCTCTTCTTTACATCTCTACACATTACATTAATTTTTTTATGCAAGAAAATTCACAACACAGTCGGCAAAAAAGAAAAATTAAGTCATTGGGATTTTTAGCAACTATAAGCTTACACTGAGTTGTAGTAAAATTTAATAAGCTATAAAACTGCTTATAAAAAATTTTTATGGAAATTCGAATTAAAACGCTTGAATTTTTAATTATTTTGTAGTTTTTTATGTTTTACACAACTTTTATAAAAAATTAGTAGACACTAAATAAACAAAAAAATAGTCAAAAGTGCTAAGAAATGTTTTTGTGCTTTTATTTTGTTGCAGTACTATATTCGTTTTCTTATAATATGGTAAAATCTTAATAATTTCCCTTGTCTGGATTTTTATATGCGCCTCCGTATTTGATCTCAGTTGAACTTTTATAAGTATGAGTTGTCAATTTAAACGAATGTCTTTTATTTTGTTTGTTTTGTAGTATTATAAATGTATTTTTATAGCCAATTTCACTTCTTTGCACTTCAAAAGGGACAAACAAAATCCGAATTTGATTTTGCCATATAAAAAATAAATTCAGATTTTGCCTGTCGCTATTCAAGGGGATGCAAGTGTACGTATATAAGTTATATAATTCAGACGCATAAATTAATAAGTTTGATTTATCATTATAAAAAGTTCTTTTTGATGCACTCAAATTTAAAAAAAATATACAATCTCTTGAGCGTTTCAATTCAATACCTTTCACAACGATAGTACTATCGATACTATCGATGTTTTCAACTATCCTTTCGGAAACTATCGAGTGGCGGTACTATCGATAGTATCCCAGCTCTAGTGGTGCGAATTATCAGCGTTTTTGACAACTATTACGTAGTGATTGAACTTTTTCGAAAAGTATCGATACTAGTACTGATTTAGAATACTCTAAAGAAGAATCGATGCCAGTACTCATGATTGCAAAAAAGTATCGATAATACTCGTACTTCCAAGTATTTTTAGGGCAAACGCGAAAAATTAACAAAAATCAGTTTGCTTTGCTTTCATGACCTCTTCCATTTGTAACTTGAGAGACACTGCTGAAACCTGATCTAACAAAGATTTCTAAAGAAGTTTTTGAAATAAACTTGCAATAAGTTTACTTCTAAAAATAGCTGTGTTTTATTTGTCCAGAAATTTAAGCTATTAGCTTATTTTGTATGGAGGACTTACCCAACATAATTATATTGGCTTATGAAAAGACTTTTCCAAAGCTCTTGACTCGGTTAGCCATGACCTACTTTGCTCTAAACTTAGGAATTACTTTGGGTTTAGTGAACTTGCTGTCCGATTAATGACAAGCTACTTGTCCGGAAGAGCTCAGAGAGTAAAAATTGGTTATGAAGTATCCGAACTTAGACCGCTAACAACGGGTGTACCCCAAGGCTCTATTATGGGACCATTACTATTTAGTATGTTCATTAATGACATATTTAATACTAGTCAGCATGCAAAGATGCATGCTTATGCGGATGACATTCAAATTTATTTGTCAGGGGCTCATGACGATGTGGTTAATTTGGTCGCGGATTTCAATAGTGATTTGTCGTCTATATCTTCATGGTCTGTGAGAAACGGTCTATGTCTTGATAGTGAAAAATCATTTGTTTTACCAGTATGTAAAAGAAATATTACTTGTAATGTGATGCCTTCTCTGTACATTGGTGATAAGTCCCTTAAGTTTGTGTCAAAAGTAACTAACCTAGGTTTTGTTATAAACACTAGTTTAACCTGCATTGATCATATTAATTCCGTTGTCGGCAAAGTATATTATACTCTGCGGAATTTAAGAATGTCTGCTACTTTTACACCGGTGAGCATTAGGCGTAAACTCGCCATTCAATTAATATTGCCTATAATATGTTACTCGGAATTAATCTACAGTAAGCTGGACTCACAATCTGCTCATAAAATTGATGTGGTATTCAATCACGTTACGTGGTATGTTTTTGGGTTGGCGAAATACGATCATATATCTGAATGGAAATCACTGCTCCTGGGATGCGGTATTTTTGAATACTTGAAGGCTAGAAATTGCATTTTTCTATTTCGCCTTATGATGGATAAGGAACCTAGCTATCTGTTTGAAAAATTGTCTTTCCCGAAATCTGCGCGCCTAACGGAATTGATCGTGCCCAACTATAATTATCTAACATCTGCAAGACTATTTTTTGTTAATGCTATTCGCACCTGGAACTCGATTCCATCTCATATTCGTAATAGTTTGAACATAAGCAACTTTAAGAGTGTTTTGTATTCTTATTTTCGTTAAAATGCTATTTCATATCCAAAGTTATACCCTTTCCTCTGAGGCTCGCTATCTAGTTAGGTATAGGGTAATCAATACATTATTCTTATGTTTTTCCTTATGCTCCACCTGTGATTCTCTATAGA